ACGGCTCCTCCCGGAGATGATCCACAGTTTACGGTTTGCCTGAAGCTCCGTAGGTTTTGTAGTTCAGCTGTGAATGCCTGAAGTTGTGAATGACAGCCCTGAGAATTTAGTTCAGTCAACAGGAAGGCCAGAGAGCAGGGGAGGCTCTCTGTCTCTCAGCTCCAACACCCAGGACAGGACTGGAGATGGGGCTGCCCTGCGAGATGCCAGTGTGTCTGTGTGGCGGTGGGCTGAAGCACGCGCTTCTGTGCACGACTGTGTCGGTGTGTGAATGCGTGAATGTGTTTGAGTGTGTCTCCCAGTGCCTGGTGTACGGGCACAATGCCCTGCTGTTTTACTGTGCCCTCCCCCCCGCTTTCCCTGCTTCTCGTCAACCTCTGTCCCAACCCTGCAGCCCCGCGCATCCATCCAACTCAGCAATCCTCCTTTTTCTACTTTCACTCACTTGTTCATTTATGACAGCCATCTATTATTTACTGCCACACTTTTTTCTTTTTTCAGTCTGTTTATGCGTTTCATTGAAGTTTTCAAGTGTACTGACGTAGTCCTTTTGCACCATCTTGTTCAGTAGCCTGCTCTGACAGGGAAAATGTGGCTCATTGTTCAATAGCTTTGTAAATAAATAAACACATTAATCACGCTAGATAAATATTAAGGAGATAACAAGAACCAACAAGTAACTCTTTTTAAACTGGAATGAGGTTTAGATGCTGCAAAAACTTGAGCAGATGACTAGAGGAGCTGAATTTCTGCCTCCATGCATGCGACCAGGACTGAAGAATGGATGGAGCCGATCTGTGAACTTATCCGTGAAGGTCTGAATGTGGACTCCAGAGTCTGCGCAGTAGAAGGACACACGACCTTCGTTGTAATCCAGAAACACTCCAAACTTCTTGGGTCGTTGGTCTAGAGCCAACTGGGTGACAGGAGAGGTGTTTGCAATGTACTGGCCTCCAGCTTTCAGGCTTAAGGTCCAGAAACCATTTGCAGGGCACACTGTGAACTTGCCTTTCCTGTTTACGGACTGTCTGGCAACACCTAGGGTCCATTCTATCTTCTCCCCAACCTCCACTTCCCAGTAGCACCTCCCGCCAACGAAGCTTTCTTTGGCCAGAACATTTCCCACTCTATCAAACCTCTTGGGGTTCTCCGGTACTTCCTGAAGCTTATCCGTGTGCCTCACCTGCTTTCTGTCATCTGAGACCCAAAGGAAAGGGTGGGCTGTTTTAGCACTTAGGTTAACATCCACTAAAAAGAAAAAAGAGCGAAGAAAGGAGAAAAAGAGCAAAAAGTCAAGAATTAGTCAAACAGTGCGTGTTCATTTTCAGCTATTCACAACAGCTGAAAATTCATGCAGTTTAATTTTGAACTCAAAATGAAGCTGAATTATGGTATATTTTTGATATTATCCACAAAAATAATCTTCAATCCCTAATAATTTTTGTAAAGTTGATAAAATGTATTTCTGCACAGCAAGAACCTTACCTGAGTATTTCTCGATTCTCTTAAGTTCTAAAAACGAACAACAGGGGGGGAAAAAAGAATGTCAATGAATTTATCTTCTAAGTTTGATATGATGCACGCAAGATTAAAACAGCACCACTCACCAGCTTTGGAGAGTCTGTTGACTTCTAACTTTATTTGTTCCAACACGTCTGACAGTGCTCTTCTGGTGACTCCAATACAAGGATCAGTTTCTATGGTAACCTTGGACCAGTCCTTCATCTCACAGGGCTAAATAGCATTCGCAGTGTTGGAAAGATTTTACAATTATGCTTCAAATCACATCATCATCATCATCATGCATTTGTCAGTAGATGGAGATAACTTACCTTGGCAGGTCGCTTCAAGTCGTCACTCTGATCACCATAGATCTGAGGGTCCGGTTCTTTGGTCTCCTTCCTCAGCTCCTCAATCTCCTGTTCGATCTCTTTGACCAGTGTTTCTACCCTGCTCTCCTCTTCTCTCTGCCTCTCTTCAATTGCAGCAACAACAGCTTTATGGCTCTTCTCCATAGCATTTACAAGGGCAGAGAAGATCTTCTGACTTTCTCGCACCTCTCTGAGGTAAGAGTTCTGATTGGACAGCAACATCATTTAATGATGTACAGATCAAAGTAAAATAAAGAAAAAATATAAATTATGTTATACATGTTTAAGTTTTATAGATATTTCCACTCACCTTTTGTAGCCCGAGAGAGTATTTCAGTCTTTCTATCTTCTGCACCCTTTCCTGAATCATTTGGTTAACATCTATAACCTGTGAATGTGCGAACACTTTGCATCAGCACACAAAAATACACTAGATTTATTAGATTAGATCACCTGTTATTAGATAACAGACAAAAGAGTACCGTTTCCTCATCTGGTGGTTTCTGTGGTCGAGACTTCCTGTAGTTTTCAGATATGTCTGCCAGTATGTGGTTAACACTGAGGTCAGGCTTGTCTGTGAACAGTCTCCTGCAGTGAGGGCAGTATTTCAACTGATGTCGTGTCCAGTATTTGGACAGGCAGGACAAGCAAAAGCTGTGTCCACATGGTATGGTTACGGGACTGGTGAAAATGTCCCTACACAGAAAGCACAAGAAGTGCTTCTCAGGGAGCAAGCAGATAGTAGAGGCCATGATCTGAAAAAGAAATTATGTCAGAAAAAGTAAGAAACAGAGCTTTTTCTGCTGTGCATAATGAAGTCTTTTAAGGGAGTGTTGTGTTTGAATAGTAAAGCAAAGAATAAACCAAAAGTGATACCTAAGAGTAAGTGAGAAGTGCCAACAGAAGTCGTTTGATAAACAAATGCAATGAAACCATCTTGTTAACAGCCATAGTAACTTGAAAATACTATAAAGTACTATAAAGTAGATTTGTGTTTTTAACACATAATTGTGTAAATGCTCAATCCTGCATCCAGGATTTTACTTACGCACTATGACGGTACACAAGTATCAAAAGTATCAAAAGTACTAGTCACTGTTACTCATATTACAAGATGCTTATCATATGTTTTATGAATTTTCAAGTGTATTAGTCATACGTTGAGTCCGTTTAATTGCTCGTTAACATAAATATCTAATCTGCCAATCACATAGCAGCAACTCATGCATTTAGGCATGTAGAAATAGTCAGAATGACGTGAAGTTGAAACTGAGCATAAGAATGGGGAAGAACGTAATTTAAATGACGTTCAATGTAGCATAGTACTTGGCAGAAAATCACCCTGGGCTTCTGGGGTTTTCCTGCACAACCATCTCTAGGCTTTACGGAGAATGGTCTGAGAAAGAGATTGTATCCAGTGAGAGGTCAGACGGGAATGACCAGACTGCTTCAAGGAAGGCAACAATAACTCAAATAACTACTTGTTACAGCCAAAGTATGCAAAAGAGCATCTCCTTGAAGCAGATGGGCTTCAGTAGCAGAAGACCACACCAGGTGCCACTTCTGTAAACCATGAACAGGAAACGGAGGCTACAGTTTGCACAGGATCACCAACATTAGACAATAAAAGACTGGACAAATGGCAAATGGCCTGTATTTGTATAGCGCTTTTACTAGTCCCCCCTAGGGACCCCAAAGCGCCTTACACACCCAGTCATCCACCCATTCACACACTGGTGGAGGCAACCTTCCGATTACAAGGCGAACTCCCAATTCTTGAGCCACGATCGCCAAATGACTCTCAGTTTCATTTTGCTGCCATGTTCAGATGTTAGAATCAGAATTGGGAGTAAACAAAAGCATGGATCCACACTTCCTTGCATCAACAGTTCAGGCTGGTGGTGTTGGTGCAATGACCTGTGGGATATTTTCTAATCACACTTCAGACACCTTAGTACCACCAAGATTTTAGACACAGATACTTAAGGTTTGACTTTAAAATCCATGCTTATTAAACAACAGTAAAAATTCAGGATTCAGCTCACATTTCGCGTGAGAGACGGCAGATTTACTCATGGCAGAAATATTTTCACTGGAATTCAGGGCGTCATGTTTTAACATTGTGTTCTCATAAAGAATGGATTACTCTCATTCTACACAGACTAAAGAGGCAGAAACAACTGGACATGATTATACTTTAATGCCCTGCCGTTGAACTTTACCCCGCTATCTCTTTCTATCTCTGCGTGTTTTGATTGCCACCGTCACAGCCAGTGTGAGCAACAGCAGATAGATAACAAACAGAGGCAGCAAAATATGCAGTCAAACTGGTGTTTGCCAAATAGTTTTCTTGTGTCATGAGGAAGCTACGACTCAAAACAAAAATAAACCCACTAAATTCTCAAGATTGTTTTAATGTAATGTGCAATCCTCAGTTCGGACTCCCTTGTACTCACGTAGGAAACAGTTTACGATTATGCAACATGGCCATAAAAGATTGAGAGGACTAACAGGAAATCAGCACACAGGTAACACACAGAAAACAGACACATTTGTTAAAAAGTATTAAAGGAAATGTGATCTTACCTTTACTTAGTTGATCTTTTCTGGGTAGGAGCGGTGTCTGTAGGGCTTGTACTTGTTAATTTAGTTAATAATACACAGAAACTTCACTGGTTCACACTGAACAGGTGTACTGAGGTATGTGGATTGTCTAGGAAAGGGGCAGCGCTTTAGACAATGGCGTGCTCAGCTAAGACTCCGCCCTACATGTTATTTGAGCTGCACTTTAACTAATCCACAGCAAGGCACAAGGAAGAGGTGGAGGTTGAATAAAATATAAAGTGTTCACACAAATCTGCTATAAATGTGCTAAAATCACAGCTTCATTTATTTATAATAGGCCTATTTATAGTTTAAACTGGCTGTCACAGTTTGAATTGATGCCACTAGAAACCTTTCAAGTTTTCTGTCAAAATAGTCTCGTACTACACGTATGTTCTTGAGATGAAAGAGGGCTTAAGACGGCTATCTAGTTTGTTATCAAGTAAGTGAAAAGCTACCTAACCAGAAGTTGGATACAAAGAGTAAGTTTTTTATTTTCATCGGGTCATCAGTCAGTTCCCTATGTCATGTACGAGGAGCTGCAAAGAAGCGGTTAATAAAGATTGAGTTGAAGTTCAGTCTGGCAGTCGGGGCCATTCTGTTGTCCATATGCTTTATTGCCACCTGTGCTGTTCCCCCTGCTGATCCACCCACTGCACCACCTATGATCCCATAGAGAACCATCCCTCCTGGGCCCTCTATAGACCCGGCCAGCGCACCCATCACAGCCCCCACAACAAAACCCGTCCCCAGGCCTCTGGCTAGGGACGTCCTGAGCCAGCTGTTGTCGATCTCCGCTTGAGCTCTAATCTCTGCGCCAATATTAGCCGTGTAAGCATCCTTCTGGAAGTACAGCTCCTCTTCCATGTATTGCTTTTCCATCTCAGCCCATGCCTTCTCTATCTCTGCTGCTCGCTGCTTCCTAAGCTTATTCTCCTCCTTCTTTACACAGTCCTCTGCCTTCTGGAAAGTTCTGCTGGAGAAGTAGCCTCCTCCTAACGAGGCAACCATCAGCTCTATCTTCTTCAACAGCTCTCTGTCCTGACTTCGATCTCTCCAGTTCTTGTTGAAAAGGTGAAAGCGTCCACTGTACTTCTCGATGAGTTCTCGCAGATGCCAATCTGTCTTCTCCACCCTATCTTCCAAGGCAGCTCTATTCTGATTTCCTTCATAGGCCAGGAGGACCATGGCGTGTCTCAGACAGTGTCTTCCAAAGCGTTCCCTCATCAGTCTGGAGGTTCTCACATCATTGGGGGAGATTTTCTCCATGTCAAAGGCAACAAGAAAGGCATGGGGACCAGGTATACATAAGCACTTGGACTTCCTTATCTCCATCTTCCTCTTAGCTTTAGATATATCCTTATCATAGATGTTTGGTCCATTGATCACTGCCACTCGTCTACCAGCCAGCTCACCGTTGTTCTTTATGCTGCCAGAAAGGCTGGTGACATCCTTAGAAAACACCTGTCTCCCAAGTATGGAATTGGTTAGTAGGAACTGAGAAGGTCCACTGCTACCAACCACCATGAGCCTTAATTCTATGGCACCACCTTTAAAAATTTTAAAAAACAGAAATTCAATTGGGATCAGATTGATAAAGATTTTTTTTTTAAGTGTGTAACAAACTCAGAAAACAATAAAAAATGTCAAAAGAAGCTAAAATATCAGCAATTAACATCATTAACACCATATTGTTTGTGTTTGGCTTATTTTATACTTTTTCTGATATCAATGCAATGCAAAGCATGTTTGAAAAGGGCTGTGTGAGTGCATGCGTCTGGTTCATCCTACTTTCTGAACATAACTTATGGTACATGTGTGCAGTAAAATCTAACAGTAAGTAGGGTAGTTTGATTTTTATTGTTAAAGTTAAACCCAAGGTTCAACTTCTCCTTCTCCACCTATAGTTATTTTCCCACAGTCCCTGCCTGACATGCAACTTGAGAATATTCCCCTTTGTGCCTTTGTGCCTAGAGCAAAGAGAAACCACATCAAATCCTTTCTTTGTCATGTTTGCATGGTTATTGGAAAGCCTACCTTTCTTCCTTGTATCCATTTGGCAGCTTCACATCACAGATTCAGTAGTTTGTTTGTTTTTTTTAATTTGGAAATGATTAAAACCTTTCCTTGAACCGACTTCACACATTTGAGTTCGGTGAAAACATATTCCTGTGTGTTTCTCGTCTCTCCCTCTGTCTGCCTCACTGTATCTGCTGATTAGATAACTGGTCACTAGATTTTACATTAAGTGGAAAATGACCTCAGGGCTGGAAGCTAGCAGTGAACATATTCACATTCATTGACATTAATATCAATCTATGTGTATTTAAAGCTTTAGATTTATTACTGATTGCATGTATGAACACTGTCTTATTTTGGAAATTATATTGCAGTAAATGAGAGCAGGTATACATGCATGCTTTCTTTGTTTTGATTTGAATTATTGAGTGAGGATCAGACTCATCTGATGATGAGTAGCACCGACATGGATCCATGATTGCAGTTATGTCAGAATGATGAAGACATTTACTGCCTATAATCCTGATTTATATTTTTAATCTTTAGTTAAAAAATAATCCGTTTTTAAAGCAGCTGTTCTAGGCTGTGTTACTGTCTGTGTGCTAGGCTTCGGAAAAATCAATATCTCATTAGTTAGTTTCATCGTGTGTTAGTGGGACACACATTTACTTTCCAAATATAGACTTGTGTCTTTATTTAATGTATCAGCTATGCTCATAAGAATTCCCACATAATCTACCAGTGGATCAGCCCAACCATACCCTTGAAAGTCTCTAGGTTGTCTTGACTATGGTTACATGTGTTAGTCCACTGAGTTGGTGCCAGATATTTGTATTATTCAATTCAATTATATACATTGCCAAATCACAACAACTCTAGCTTTAAAGCGCTTTATATTGTAAGGTAAAGACCACACAATAATACAGAGAAAACAGAGGAAAACCCCAGCAATCATATGAACCCATGAGCAATGGCTTTGGTGACAGGAGAGGAAAAACTTCATTTTAGGAAGAATAAACCTCCAGCAGAACCAGGCTCAGGGAGGTACAGCTATCTGTCGCAACCAGTTGGGAGTGAGGGTAGGAAGACAGCATAAAGACACGCTGTGGAAGAGAACCAGATATTAATAATGACTCATGATTAAATGCTGAGTGATGTATAAACACTTAAAAAGGTAAATTAAGAAGAAACACTGAAAGTGCATTGTGGGAATCCCCAAGCAGCCTTCCCACAAAGGGAGGGTTTACATTAGGACTGAGGGTTATCTGATCCAGCCCTAACTATAAACTTTAAGCCTTAAAAAAAGTTTTAAGCCTAATCTTAAAAGTAGAGAGTGTGCCTGTCTCCCAATGTCTCAGAGCAGAGTGCCTGTAGAGGAGATAGAGTACTGTGAGGTTTTTAAGATAAAGTGGGGGCTGAGTATTCAAGACCTTGTATGTTAGGATCAGAATTGTAAATTCAATTCTGGATTTAGCAGAGAGCCAATGAAGACAAGCTGTCTCTTTCTGGACCCTGTCAGTACTCTTGCTACAGCATTTTGGATCAGCTGAAGCCTTTTCAGAGAGTTTTAGGACATCTTGATAATGCTGAATGACAGTAGTTCAGCCTAGAAGTAATAACAAGCAGTTGAACAGGTGCACCCAACAAAAATTACTTGTGATTCATAGGCTCCTAAATAAGCTGTGTCATTTTCAATATAAGGCCCATATAAATCAGATTTTAATCAGAAAAAGCTTAAAATCAGCCTCTAAATCATAGAATACTAACAATACTATTCACCTTCCAGCATGTTGTCAAATTTGAACCATTTTAAACTTTGACAACAGCAAAAATACCCTACGTGTTATAAATATTTAATACTGTTTGATTCTTTTGCAAATTGTATATATAGTGAGGCTATTCGGGGTCAAATTTGACCTGTATCTATCCAAATGTATTTCAGATTCACTACCATTAGTAAAATCAAGGAAAACTGTACATTTTAGGGAATCTTGAAACTGCAAAACTGTGTGTGCCTTGTCTGTTATGGGATAGTGGTGACAGAGTTCAAGGGCCACATTTGACCAGGTTAGTGCAAAGACAGAATAGGAGTTATAATATATAACCCTACATGACAAGCAGAGGTCAAAGAGTGCCTTGATGCCAATGATTACCAATTTCACTTCACAGAGAGAGGGTTCCTGGTTCAATCCCAGCTAGGACCATTCAGTATGGAGTTTAAAGGCACTTTGAGTGGTTAGTAAGAGTGGAAAAATGCTGTATAAATATGAGTGTATTACAGTTAGACCTGAAATGTCAAAAAATAATAATAAAAGAAAAACAAAGAAATAATTCATTTTGATAGTCTCATAGTTACATAACACATGTGCAAGTCCCACACAAGCAAGGATTTCATTAATGTTGCGATAATAATGATAACTGCAGATGGTACTTACAGAGATTTGTTATGACATAACATTGATCGTAGTGTTTAATGGTTGTAAAGGTCATACATGGTTATATAATAAATCCCAATAGTTCAAGGAGTTTCTTTCCATTTCTACCTTAGCGTTAGAATATATTTAAATCCTTACCGCTGCAACGTTTTCATGTTTTGGGTAAAACTGGAGACGATGTTGTGTGAAAATACATATTTTTCACCAAAAGCAAATGTTGCAAACCTAAAAACCTGGCTGACCCTCTTGTGCTTTGGGTATTTCTTACTGTGGTAAAACAGCGCCCCGCTGTGGCCAAACTGGGAACATGAAGAGGAAATCGCTCCATGTATTTCCGGTTGGAGCGACTTGACGGCACCTTCAAATAGCGTAAATACAAAGTGACTTTACGCTATTTTGTAACTACTTTGTTGTCACAGAAACGCATACCGTTTGAGTGATGAAGCCGGGTAGTGAGGTAACCTCTGGTTCGGGTCGGAGAATGTAATCTCCCGTGGAGAAACAAACGCTGTCTCTAAAATGATGAGACGCACTTTAAATGCGGTCAGTCGTGTCCTCCCTCCCCGACTGAGGCACTTCTCGGGCGGAGAAGTAACCGAAGATGTGTCTGAATGTGCGGCATCTCCACAAATCACAGAGCGCGCGTCTCTTTATGTGCACGTGAGCTATAGCTTCTTTTTTTCTTTTTCTGAGAACATCACGCGCACATGTATCCGTAACTGCATGTTGACTCACCTGATTTAAACATAAGTGGGCTGTGTCATGACTATAAGGTTCTTCCTCCCCCAGTGGCCTTACTGTCTCAGGAGGTGCTCCTACTGCAATTTCAATAAGTACATATCCAAAGAGAACAATTCCCACGTCATGACTAAGTGCCTTCAGAGGGAGATTGAGACACTGCTGCGACTCAGTCAAGTATCCTGGTATGTGCATTTATTAAACCTGACAATCAGTAACTGTAACCTGCAGCTGAGATCACACTCTGGTTTTCATTTGTAGCATCACCTCCGTGTTCTTTGGTGGTGGGACTCCAAGCCTGGCCCACCCCTCCATCTTTGCTGCGATCCTCGAGACTGTTTCCAGGCAGGTGAATCTCTCAGATGAGGCCGAGGTCACCCTCGAAGTCAACCCCACTCCTGCGGGAAAGTCCAGGTTAGAGGACTACTGCCGTGCCGGGGTGAACCGATTTTCCATCGGGGTCCAGGTGAGCGTAATCCTCGGGTGCTCATGAAAGCCCATGGAAAAGCAGGGCCTTCCAGCTGTTTTACTCAAAGCATTTAGTGGTTGGTTACAACTTTACACTCCAGGCCAATCATTGTGTTCATGTTTTTTTTGAAAATCCCCTCTTCTGTGTGATGACATTTACTCAAAACACACTTTTTGAAGTTTAGTTTTGTCAGGTCCAAATCACACATCTAAGGTACCAGTGCTTGTTTCTTTTGCTCTGCATCATAGACATTAAATTGCATGCAATGAAAATTGCAATTTGGATTTTATATTGTAGATTTCAGTTGGAACAGAGCTTAAATGTGTTTTCAGAGGTTAATCTTTCCATCTGTTTATCTCCTGACTCGATAATATTGGAAAAATAACACAATTCAAAAATGTTGACCCACTTATATGTACTATGAGGTGATGTAACTCTGAAAATTGCATTAATAATTTGATTCTGAAGGGGTAAGGTGAGAGCTTTTTTTCATTTTATGGAACAACACTGATCAAACGTTTTTATCTTCAGTCTTTGCAGAATGAGGACTTGAAAAGTCTGGGAAGAGACCACGACTCCCACGAGGCTTTGCAGACTATCGAAGAGGCCAGGAGGCTGTGCCCTGGTCGGGTGTCGGTGGATGTCATGTTCGGACGTCCCAAACAAACTGTTGAATCCTGGGAAATAGAGTTGTCTGAGCTGCTGAGGGTGTGTGACGATCACGTGTCTCTGTACCAGCTGACCCTGGAGCGAGGCACTCAGCTTTTTAAACAGGTTGAGTGCGGTGCAGTGACGATGCCCTCCGAGGATGTGACAGCAGACATGTACCAGCGCGCCAGGAAGACTCTGCACCAGCATGGCTTTCAACAGTACGAGGTGTCGAATTTTGCAAGACATGTAAGTCTTTGCTGTAACAAGAACGTTCTCCTTTCCGTACTTTAACGCTTCAACTTATGATGCATCCGTTTTATACGCAAAAATTATATGTTACATCGAAGGAAGGTTCGGAGAATAAAAAGAGAAAATAAATAAAAGAAAAACACTTCCTTGGTACACTTGTTTAAATGCTTATTAACACAAATACCTAGCCAGCCAATCAAGTGGCAGCAACTCATTGCATTTAGGCATGTAGACACGGTCAAGACGACCTGCTGAAATTCAAACTGAGCGTCAGAATTACGAGAAGAGCGCTGATTTCAGTGACTCACAATGTGGCATTGTTATTTGTGCCAGACAGGCTGGTCTGAGTATTTAAGAAACTGCCGATCTGCTGCGAGTTTCCCACACAACCATCTCTAGGATTTACTGAGAATGGCCTGAAAAAGTGAAAGTACCACTCTGCAACACTTCCTTGGTAGAAAATGGCTTGTTAATGTTAAGAGGTCAGAAGAGAATGACCAGGTTGACTTGAAGGCAACAGTAACTCAGATAACCACTCGTTACAGCCAAGGTTTGCAGAAGAGCATCTCTGACTGCACACCACACCAAATCTTAAAGAAGCATGCCAGATACCATACTGTTAGCTAACAACTGGAAACTGAAGCTACAATTCACACGGTCTCACCACAATTGGATAATAGAAGATTGAAATATGTTGCCAGATCTGATGATTCTCAATTTCTGCTGCAACTTTCGGATGGTAGGGTCAGAAATTGACATAAACATGAAAGCATGGATCCATCCTGCCTTGTAGCAACAGTTCAGGTTGTTGGTGGTTTTATAATGGTGTAAGAGGATGTTTGTATCGACTGAGGATTGTTTAAACGCCACAGTCTATGTGAGTGTTGTCACCAGTGTCGTCATCTTCTGATGGCTGCTTTCAGAATAACATGCCATATCACAAAGCTCAAGTCATCTCAATCTGACTGATAGTGGCTTCACTGTTTACAGTTCATGCAAAAAAAAAAAAAAGTCTTCCTTCACTCTGAATTGTAAAAAAACAAAATACGTACAACAAACTACATGTTCAGTCCTCTGTTTTATAGGCATCCATATTTTTCTCGTATAATTTAGAGTCATCAGATGTTTTCGAGGTTATTGAGCGAGATTTAAATGTCCAGTTCTATCGAAAACCAAAGATTTATATTGTTTTTCCCCAGCAGAGTCTACTAAGTTGTATTTTTAAGCTTCTTTTTAACTTTGTGTTTGGTTTTCTGTCTTCATCAGTGTTGGGAAGGTAACTTTTAAAATGTATTCCATTACAGAATACAGAATACATGCCCCAAAATGTATTCTGTAACGTATTCCATTACGTTACTCAATGACAGTAACGTATTCTGAATACTTTGGATTACTTAACATATTATCATGCATTTTACAACTACATGAATGTACTATTGCTGTGATGTATTACTATTACTGAAGGTCCGCGGCTCCGAACCGTAGTAATGGGACCTCTGACTAATACGGTTCCGTGTCGGGCTCATAGCCGAAAACTAGCTATACTCTGGGTCAACTCTGCTTGCGAGAGACAGAGAGAGGCGTTGAAAGGCTGCTCCAACGGAACTTATTGTTTCAGAGGAAAACACGAACACAGTGTACAGTCGAGTCTTAATAGCTTACTTACAGCTGGGCTCGTCA